TGCCGCTGCCGCCTTGTCTCCCAAGCTTGTCTCCCTTCATGATTTCGCTCTTGGCTGCCGCTGCCGCCTTGTCTCCCAAGCTTGTCTCCCTTCATGATTTCGCTTTTGGCTGCTGCTGCCGCCTTGTCTCCCAAGCTTGTCTCCCTTCATGATTTTGCTTTTGGCTGCCGCTGCTGCCTTGTCTGTGAAGCTTGTCTCCCTTCATGATTTCGCTCTTGGCTGCCGCTGCCGCCTTGTCTCCCAAGCTTGTCTCCCTTCATGATTTCGCTCTTGGCTGCCTCTGCCGGCTTGTCTCCCAAGCTTGTTTCCCTTCATGATTTCGCTTTTGGCTGCCACTGCCGCCTTGTCTCCCAAGCTTGTCTCCCTTCATGATTTTGCTCTTGGCTGCCGCTGCCGCCTTGTCTCCCAAGTTTGTCTCCCTTCATGATTTCGCTCTTGTCTGCCTCTGCCGCCTTGTCTTCCAAGCTTGTCTCCCTTCATGATTTCGCTCTTGGCTGCCTCTGCCGCCTTGTCTTCCAAGCTTGTCTCCCTTCATGATTAAGCCCCTGGCCCAAGACAGCTCGCACCGTTCACCACCTCCAAGTCTTGACGTCATGGCATGGGCTGCTTGGCGGCTGGTGAACCTCCTTCTCCTCCTGATCTTCGAGCTGCACGGGCCTTCCGGTCCCAAGTCCGGAGGCACCTACTGGATGAACTTCTTTGACGAGACTTCGTTTCTTGAAGCACAATCGACAGATTTTTTCACCGAGTTTTTAGGTGCCAGGGGTGAGGGTGGTACAGTGACCATGCACTGTACCGGAAGGGAGTGGTTTGATGAGTTCAAATATGCTACCCCTAAAATACATGGTACAGGGCAAGAAGTTTCCCCCACGAAGGCCATGAGGGCTTCACGCCGGCCCGTGAAGAGATCTTTCGTGAGGGCCATGCGACGTCTTCAGAACACTGGATTCTGTGTTTATCGTGGACAAGTCCACGTCCAGCCCTTGAACCAGATGCCTGCAGCTGCTGTCACCAAGACACAGCCTGTTTCGATGATTAAGCAGGCCTCAGGGCCGAGACTCAGCTGCATCACCTGGAATTGTGGTGGGTTCAACTCAGAATCATATCATGAATTTTTGTACTGGCTCACACTCCAACAGATTGACATTTGCCTCATTCAGAGCACTAGATGGTCACTTGAGGAACCTTGGGAATGTGGCGGATTTGTCTTCATCCCTACCCCTCGACAGGCGGCAGGCACACATGACGGACTGCTCACTGTTGTTCGTGCACAATTCTGTGACGCTGCATCCATCAGCCATGCCACCATCCTTGAGGGGCGGATTCAGCATGTCCGTTGTGACTTGGGTCCCATAAGTATTGACCTCGTTAATTGCTATCAGCACCCCTACAATGTTGCCAAGAGCAGACCTGAACCCCTCAAATCACGCAGCACCTTTTGGACAGCCTGGGAAGACCTTCTCCAGAAACTTCCCTACCGGAACTTGCTGATCACTGCAGGTGACTTCAACTGCACCTTGGACAAGCCAAAGCCTGGACCTGCCACCGATGTTCTTTTTCCTGACCGTGATGCCTTCCAGGCCATCATTCGTCGTTTTTCACTTGCTTCGACTAAGATTCACGATAAACATCCGACTTTTATTGGTCCTGGTGGTCAGTCGAACATTG